CAAATCATTTATGCAAGCTGCATAAGTCCCTGTATGGTCTTCGACAAGTACCCCGTGTTTAGTTCTCTAGACTCACAGGCAAGCTTGTGCAACTAGGATTCATTGCTAGCAAAGTAGATACTTTGTTGTATGTATATCACAAGTCAACCTTAGCAATATATTTTCTCATTTATGTAGATGGTATTATTGTTACAAGTTCTAACAACTCAACAGTTGACAACATTGTCACACTCCTATGTGATGATTTTCCTATCAAAAAACTTGGGGACGTTAACTACTTTTTAGGAATAGAAGCACTGTCATACTCAGATGGTCTTTATTTTACTCAATGAAAGTATATTATGGACTTACTAACTCGGGTTGAGATGAATAAAGCAAAACCTATCTGCACTCCTATGTCACCTTCTCAATCTTTGACTACATCATAAGGTGAGGCTTTCGAAAATCCCACACTTTACAAAAGTAGTGTTGGAGGTCTTCAATACCTCTCCTTCACCTGCTCTAATCTAGTTTAATAGGTACATCGAATAAGCAAATTTATGCATGATTTGAAACATGCACATTGGTTGACTGTGAAATGAATTTTACGGTACTTAAGGCATACAATATCCTTCGATTTTCTCATCACCAGACAACCTAATCTCCACCTTCAAGCTTTTCAGATGCAGACTGGACTGGTGATACAGATGATCGTCGTTCAGTTGGCGCTTACTGTATATTCCTTGACACAAATCTCATTTTATGGAGCTGCAAATAGCAACAAACTATTGCATGCAATAGTACAGAGACAAAAAATAAAGTACTTGCAAAGGCCGATGTTGAGGTTTAATGGCTCCAATCAGTTATTCAAACATTGGGGTTTCTTATAAAATCAATTCCAACACTCTGGTGTGACAACAGAGGAGCCACATACTTGTCTTCTAATCCTGGTTTTCATGCACAAACAAAGCATATCAAAATAGATTTCTACTTTGTGTGTGATCAAGTCGTTCAACACAAACTTCATGTCCGGTTTATCTCAAGCAAAGATCAGTTCACTGGCATGTTAAGCAAGTCAATTTCCACTAGAAAGTTTGAGTTCTTGAGAAATAGTCTCACTGTTTGTGACCTCCCCATTCGACTGCAAGGGTGTGTTGAAGAATCAGTCTAAGAAGATCCCGATTTTTTTGTTGTTGACTAGAAGAAGATGTGATCCTGAGATCATTTTGCTACACACTCTGTATAGTTTGAATTATTCAAACAAATGCTAGGTTGTTCCAACTATCTGCAAATACTTAGGCAATTATATAGGTCATTAGTTGTGTGGATACACTATATAATTTGTATGAGGTTTATAAAATTATCTATACTACTAATAAAAATACCTTAACATGAAAACTTTTAATTCACTATTTTACCATTACAAAGAATTTTAAATACCATATTATCCTTTCATAGTTAAATATCTAAATTATAATCATCTACTTAGAGTAACTCCAACCTTGCTTGCCAAAATAGCTACTCAAAATATATTTAAATATTGTATTCTTTACTTTAGCTATCAACTTTTTTAAATTTACTCCAACCATGCTCTCTATTTTAGTTGACTACTTCAACTAACTTTAATTAATTTTCAATAATATAATTCAAAAATTCAATTCAAAGTATGTATAATCATCAACCCAACCAAAAATCATACCGTAATAATAATTCTAATTAAACTTTAAATAATACAACTTAATAGCAATTTAACACCCATTCACTTTAAATAACAAAAATCAATTGCAGAATACGTCTCATAAATTTAAGATTTTCTCAAATACTTACATTAATATTTTATATGGGTCTAAATGTAAATATTCAAAATTTGGGAAGGTTGCAAAATTTATTGGGAATTTTCAGAATTTTTTGGGGGGTTTTCAGAATTTATTGGGGGATTTTTAGAATTTATTTTTGGGGGTGGGGGGGTTTTAGAATTTGGGGGGAAGGGCCAACCATGCTCTCTGGGTTCTTCCACTTCGAAGACAATGAAGCACCTTTCACTTATCAGGGTTTCACTCATCTAGGTTCTTCCACTTCGAAAACGATGAAGCCACAACGAGAGAGAGAGATGCATACTTGAAGAAGGAAATAGAAGAAAGACAGTGTGTCGTTGTGCAGAAATGAAAGGAAAGCAGCAACTGGCGAGTGGATTGCCCTCTCCGGATTTGGCGAGTAATTTGACTTCCTAGATTTTGGCGAGCTGGATAGCTAGAGCGTTGGAGCACACGATTTGGAATTTTGCTCGCCAAAATAGCTAAATGGTTGCACTGGTGAAGGGCGTTGGAGATGCTCTTATGTGTTTAAATCTCTAAATTATCCCTAAGATCTCTTTTAATTCTCTATTCCCTATATATAAATATAAGTATCTATGAAACTTTTTAGTTGATTATATTATCTTTAAAAAATATATGCATAATTATAAATTTCAATAAAACGTTCAAAAATTTCATCAATCTAACATTATTCATTTCAAATATAAAAGATAACATTATACCTACATGTGATTTTTTTTTTCATCCAAAATTTTAGCCATTTTATTTTTAAGATAAAAAATAATCTTTTACGTAGTTTTTTATAAATAATTTATGTTAAATCAACATAAATTTCAATAGTAGTAACTTTTCCTATTTTATTAAAATTTTATATAAAAATTCATGTAAAAAATATAAAAATAGATTATAGTATATTTTTAAGTAAAACTTAAATTTTTGAATTTTAATATTCTTTTAAAATATATATTATAAAGTAGTATATTATATTTTGGGGTTAATGTTAATTTCAGTCCATAAAATATGCATCTTTTATCAGTTTGATTTCATTGTATCAATTACGTAAATTTGATTCTTAAAGTATTTATTCATGTGCAACGTACGTCATGCATTGCTAGTAATAAGAAATGTACGATAAACTTTCCTCAAAATTCTTACATACCTCAACTAATTCTCTCTCTAGTCCGGTCAAAAATAGATCATCTACACTAGAACCAAGATTCATAATGGATAAATTCCTTTTAACTTGATCCCAAAGAGTTGTTAAGGTTCGTATTTATGACGTTTGAATTTACAACTTGTCCCTGTTATTAGAGGTGATAATTTATGACACAACACGAAAATATGACTCGAAATCGATACGAAAGTAGTGGGTTAGAGTTTGTAATTTTTCGACAGGAATCCGTATATGATATGATCCGTTAATACAAATAATAAATGAGTTGGGTTAATGTCAAACATAAATAATACAAAATTGACACAATTAACGCAATTAAGTAGTATTACAAAAATAATATCAATTTTTTATTATATTTTATGAAGTTGTGACTTAATTCTTATACAAAAAAAAATATTTTCACTTATTTTTATTATTATATTTATTAAATTAATTTTTAATTTATACAAAAGGTATAACCATAGGTTCAATTAAGTGATAATAAAACTTTAGACATAAAACTGAGTTTTAAATTTTTTAGTCACGAGTTATATGAGTCAACACAAACACGATACCAAAATAAATAGGTCGATACGACACAACATAACACGATTAATTAAATAGATTGGGTAAATGTTGACTAGTGCTCGATACAAACCCAAAAATGACACAACACAAATACGACCCGACCTAACACGATCGTCACCCCTATCTATTACCACTGGAGCTACCTTAATATTAAGTACGATATTTATGAATAGTGGCGGCAAGTAGAATTTATTTATTTTTTTAATATATAAGGTTTTAGAAGAACAAAACACACCATAACAACCAATCGAAAATGTGTCACTTATCAAGTTTGTTAGTGGATTAAATTTTGGTTTATTTAAATAATCTATATCGATAATCCAAATTTATTTGATAGGGTATTGAGTGCATTAAGGATTAGTTGATGAGAAGACTGCTTTTGCACAAAAATTGTAGACTGCCCAAATGCAAAGACAGCTAGGATCATTTGGTAGCATGACATGTACTTGTGGACTTGGCCTCCTTTTCATACTCAGCATGGACTTTCTCGTTTCCCCACCATAAGATGACTTAATTTATTTAGGCCGACAGAATATTATGGTAAATTAATACAGAGCTTATCACATGGCACCTAATCTCTGGAAAGTCAACCTACAATAAAGTATGTATAAATACTATTATTATTTTTCTTATGATCACGACATACTGAAAAATAATGCAGGCTATGTAAAACTCTATAGAGGACACACGTCTTCCTAAAAAAATCGAAGAGGCAATAATCAATGATCGAATCATATTTGAGGATCTATATCATAACAGGAATTGAAAGGCCCTTCTTTAAGAGAGAGCTGAGATATAGAGCAAAAATCCCAACGAATCATTAAGGATAAAGGAATAAAACTCTTAGTGCTGAAGATTTTTACTCTAATGTTTGATGGAGTTTATAGTCGATTTAAAATTGATGGAGCCTACGATAGTAATAGCATTGCTCAATATTGAAATGAGCAATGTTACATGAACTTAAAAACTAGACTTGATAATCTTAACCATTGATTTCACTGTAGGTCCCAGCATTTATTGGGATCCACTACCTATTTAATGGTTGAAATTATCGAGTTTAATTTTTAAGTTTATGTAATATTAATCTATCGAAAGTTGTCATAACTGATCTTCAAGTTGACCTCAAATGTTGGATGGCTTCTTCACCAAATCAGAATAAAAGAAATTTGAATGGGCCCACCAGTAGACAAATTAATACCAGCCACATCAAATGTTCAAACGGTTCACTCCACGTAAACGTGTTTTTGGCTTTTCTATTATTAAGTAATGTGCTAATGTTTTGAATATTTCCACTTTTTCTAGACCTAGAAATGTTCTGCCATGCATTAGTCTATATCATTTGGTAACCTGCCCGTGACAAACGCGTCCATGCCACTCTATATAACCCTAATTACTCTTGACACTTTCTCAAAACATTCCTACACTACTCCAATTCATCACTTGCTGTTCTAAATTTCTACACAAAAATGACGACTTCTTCATCTTCTTCTTCGATGGTTTTTGTCACATTAATTATCGTTTCGCTGTTAGTGGAGAGTTCTTCAGCTCAACTCTCGACGAACTTCTACTCCAAGACTTGTCCCAATGTGCTTAGTACTGTGAAATCGGAGGTACAATCTTCTGTTTCAAAGGAAAAGCGAATGGGTGCTTCTCTGCTTCGTCTCTTCTTCCATGACTGCTTTGTCCAAGTAATTCCTCTAGCATCCCCTTTAACTTGAATGTGATTAACTTTCGTAACGTAGTGTAGTGCAGCTTAGACTCATCTCCATTTGTATATATAAAAAATGGTAGTCCAGTTCACAAAGTTCTCGCCGCCACTGTGGGGTTAGGATAGAGAGATTGTTTTGCGACTCGAACTCTTGACGCCAAACCCATATCTGTATGAAAAATAAGCAGATATTAACTGGCTTTCATGTTCTCGTGGTTTCAATTTTTAATGATGTTCTTGCGTGTGACCTGGGTTTTCTTTTGCTGGATTACAGGGGTGCGATGGGTCAATACTCCTTGATGATACTTCGTCTTTCAGAGGGGAACAAACTGCTGGTCCAAACAACAACTCTATCAGGGGACTAAATGTGATTGACCAAATCAAGTCTAAGGTGGAGAATGTGTGCCCTGGTGTGGTGTCATGCGCTGATATCGTAGCTCTTGCCGCTCGTGATTCTGTTGTCTTCGTGAGTTACAGTCCAAAATACTTAATAGCACGACAACACATTTTTTGTTATTTTTTTTGCTATTAATAGCACGGCAAAATTTCTACCCGGAACAAATGCAATGAAGTCATAAACAGTCACCTTCAACTAACAGCTGCTTCTCTTCTGGTCCATGACTATATATAACGTTGTCTTGGTTGCAGCTTGGAGGGCCTAGTTGGGATGTGAAACTTGGAAGAAGGGATTCGAGAACAGCTAGCTTTTCTGCTGCCAATAGTGGCCAAATTCCTCCTCCCACTTCTACCCTTGCCAACCTCATCAACAGGTTCCAAGCAAAAGGCCTGTCCACCAATGATATGGTTGCTCTATCAGGTAACATACATGTGTATGTGTATACGTGTGTGTGTGTATATATATATGCATTTATATACACACGCCTATTAGTGTGTACATATAACTGTTACATCAACCTTTTGATTACTATATAAGGTAAACTGTAGTGATACCCCCTTGTGGTAGTTAGGTTTAAATGCAGAGAAATCCCTTACAGTTTTCTGAAATATCACAACAATTCCTCTACTTCGGACATTTTGACTAGGAGACTTGAGAGAACTTACCAGTAGCTTCTTGGGATATATATGTGTGTGTGTGTGTGTGTCTCTCTCTCTCTCTCTCTCTAAAGTAGCTTCCTGGAAGCAGGAGCACACACAATTGGGCAAGCAAGGTGCACCACATTCAGAAGTCGTGTATACAACGACACCAATATAGATGGTTCCTTCGCTAAGACAAGGCAGGGGAACTGCCCAATATCGTTAAACTCTGGAGACAACAATTTGGCACCTTTAGACCTTCAAAGTCCCACTTTTTTTGACGCCAAGTATTACCAGAACCTTGTCAACAACAAGGGTCTCCTCCACTCCGATCAAGTGCTCCACAACGGTGGATCGACCGATTCTCTAGTTGAAACATACAGCAAAAATCTTGATACTTTCAACTCTGATTTTGCTGCTGCAATGATCAGGATGGGTGATATTAGTCCTCTCACTGGGTCCAATGGTGAAATAAGGAAGATGTGTGGGAAGGTGAATTGAATTAATGAAGACAATTAGCTCTTTTTTACCCAAAAAAACAAAGAGAAGAAAATGGTTTGTTACCGGAGAGGGTGGTTGTTTGTTTGTTTGTGTTTGATATGTCGGGATAAACTGCAGAAGAAAGAGTGACTGAGTGTGATTTGTGAGTGGACTTGAGCGCGTGATTTGTGAGTGGACTTGAGCGTGTGATTTGTATTTTCACAACCAATAAATATTTCGTTATAATTATTGTTTTTTTTTATGTTTCACTCCTTGCACTCGAAAAAGTATTAGTTAATGCTGGTACCGGGACCAACCTGCACATCGTCGTTTCTTAGATTAATGAAGTTACATAGTATGGATTCAGATCTTTTTTTCTTGGGATATTTGGCAATGGTTGAGAGAGATCAATAGGGAGGGAGAGAGGGGGCTCCTGTTGATGTAACAGTCCTTGGCAAAGTTTTGTTAAAAGAACACATATCAGCTTTAATACAACGAAGAATCTGCTAAACCAATTAAGGCAGCGTACGCGGGCATTTGGGGTTCCTAATTTCCTAATTCTGCTAAAAGCCATCATATTCATATCTCTGGAGTCTGCTCATATTCAGGGTTCCAAGTTCTTTGAAATTTTTTCAAAAGAAAACGTTCCTCGGAAAACAAAGTAAACACTACTATAGAAAATTTTGCCTCTATTTGGTCTGTTAACTTCTATTTAGCTACTCTGAGAGAACAAGATACAGCAGGAATTTGATTTCCTGACACTGAGCATAGACCAATTCAAAACTGCAAAATCAGAAAATTAGTTGACAATAAACCTCATCTCTCATGTACACATATCACCTAATACAAATTGGTGGAAGTTCATATAGTACTTACCACCAGTCACCAATAATCCTTACAAGAACAAAACCCATCTCTGAAATGGTGAAAGCGATTCCGATCTCTCACAATTATCTCCCTCTTAAATACTGTTGAAATAAGCTTTATAGCAGCATGACAATCACTGCATGTTCGAAGGTTCTTCACTATCCGAATTGCCTTTCCAGGTGGTATATTCATTAGCCCAAAAGCAATGGCGATTCTCTCGCTATGGTATCTAACTGCACTCTCTTTCTCTTCATCCTCTATGTCATGAAGCACAGAAGCTGTATCTGGCTCATGCCCACGCCCTCTTAATTCCTTTGCAATCTCATCTAAAAATGAATTAATTTGTGGGAATTGGGGATGTGAAGTGTCCCCAGCCACAAACTCATGCACTACACTATCCACCTCAATTGAACTGCACCCTGGTGTTTTACGCACTCCCCTCTCCACCATTAACTTCCGGCACATATCCACATCATTCCAGCGATTCAATGATGCATAAAGGTTGGATAAGAATACATAATTTCCTCCATCGCATGGGTCCAACTCCAACAGTTGCTGGGTCACCTGCTCACCAAGTTTGGTATCCTTATGAATCTGACATGCTCGGAGCAGGCTTCCCCAAACCATTGCATTTGGCTTCATGGACATGGTCCTTATGAGCTGTAACGCTTCTTCAAGAAACCCTGATCGACCCAAAAGGTCAACCATGCAGCCATAATGTTCAATTCCAGGTTCCACACCATAAGAGCTACGCATTTGAGAGAAATATCTTCTACCTGCTGAAACCATTCCTGAATGGCTACATGCACATAAGAGCCCAACAAAGGTGATCCCATCTGGTTTTATTCCCTCCTTTTCCATTGAGACAAATACATTTATTGATTCCTTCCCATAACCATGCATTCCTAATCCTACAATGACGGAATTCCAGCAAAAGATGTTCTTCACCTGAAGGCCGTGAAAGACATCAAGGGCAGCATCTATACTTCCACACTTGCAGTACATGTCTATAAGAGCATTACCTAAAACTACATCAGTCCTAAATTTTTTCCTTCTTATGTAAGCATGGATCCATTCACCCATGTCTAAGGCTCCAAGATGAGAACATGCAGACAACAAACTAACCATAGTTACCTCCGTCGGCTTAACATTTTCAGCAATCATTTGCTGAAACACATTTATCGCTCTCCCAAATTTCCTACATTGAACATACCCTGCAATCATGGTATTCCAAGTGACAGAATTTTTAGCTGCCCCCATCCAAACAAACAACTCCTCAGCATTCATTAGCTGCCCCAACTTACAATAGCCATCAATAATTGCATTCCACGAGACCACATCTTTGACAGGATCACGATCAAAGATTAAACGAGCAGAATCAATGTCACCCAACTTGCAATAGCAAGTGATCATCGAATTCCAAGAACATGAGTTCCGCTCAGGCATACTATCAAACAGATTCTTCGCCTCCTCGAGACACCCATGTTTACTGAGAGCCGATATCATAGCGTTATTAGCCACGACATCTCTTTCAGGCATTTCCACAAACACCCGCTTTGCTGACTTCAAATTCCCAACCTTTGCATAAAAATCAAGCAACCCAGTTTGTACAATCACATCAAATTCATAACCCATTTTCAATATCTGACATTGAAATGATTCCCCAAACTGGGTCGCACACGTAAGTGCACATGAACGCAGAATTAAAGAACACGTAGGTGTGTTAGGAATCAAATTATTATACCTTAACCCATTGTAGATATCCACAAAATCTCGATAATTTTCCGATTCTAATGAAACACGAATCATCCAATTCCACAGCAATGGGTTTGGTTTTGGTAGATTTTCCAAGAAAAGTAAAGCATAGCGAGGGTCCTGAGAATGATAACAGGAAGAGAGGAAGCTGGTGAGGAGAGGAGTGGAATGGAAGTAACCACTTGTGAGTATTTGAGCGTGAATTTGGGGTAATTGTTTGAGGCTTAAGGGATTTTTGTGTGATATTGAGCATTTTATGTAGTCAGCGAGTGATTCTAGAGTTCTAGGAATTGAATACATGAAATAAAACAATTATGAGGTCAAGCAGACTATAACAGCGTTCCCGCTCAACGTTTGAAGCAGACACCCGACCCATTTGTTCTTGCTTGTTGTGAAGAGTACAGATCGGTCGGTGGACGTGGGCAGGAATAATTTTTTTCAACAATGCAACACACCACCTGCACCAACTCAATTATCAAATATTCAATAGTTTATGAGTATACCACATCAAATAGTGTAAGTGACATAGTACACAAAGATGATATGCAAAACATTATTCAATTTTTTTTTTTTTTTCTGTAGAGTACATGCGAATGTGGGTACCATAAATTTAGGGGGAGAATCATATTTTGTACCCTAAAAAATTTAATAATTTTTTACATTATACTCTTAATCTATACTATTAATAAATGTTAGTATCTGTAAAAAAATTTAAATTTTTTATTTTATCCCTAATTATTATAATAAAATTAATTATATTCATTTATATATTTTCATATATTTTTTTAATATTTGTTTGACTTTCAACTTGTTTTGCATTCTTTTATAAATATTTTTAAATTCTTTTGAACTCATTTATTAGTATTACAGTTATATACAATTGTCGATCTATATCTATATTTATATGAAAAAATAAATTCCAATCTATATCTTATTATTGTACATTCCAATATTTTATATAAAAATTTTAGTTACAGGTATAATTAAATTGAATAATAAATTATATAATTTTAATTAATTTTTATTTTAATTATTATCAAACTTAATTATTAATCTATTTTACCTTTCTTCGAGTATGTTTATGTATTTCTTCGACTCCTTAGATAATTTCTCTTTTGTTTAAAATGAATCTTTTTTGTAACATTATTATTATTGAGTATTTGCACATCTAATTATATTATAAATTTATTATATTTTTTGTCAAAAAATTGATTAAATTGTAATACTTATATTTGTATTGTAACAATGTGATATTGTTATATACTAAAAAATCAACTATAACATATGATAACGGTAGGATTTTGAAGTGGGCAGCCCATCTCAAAACCAAATCACCTAATGGGCCAAAAAGGGTGCACAACAGCCCAAGAAATCCCTTAACAACCCATTTGTTCCATAACAAGGAATGAGTCATAATCTAAAGGAGGAAGCCCAACGGAAAGTCCAGATCGGCATGACCCTACTCGGTCATAGCAAGCTTAGCGATAAGAAGCCCGGGATAAAGGAGTTCGATACTCACCAGGCCCCAAGTGCCCCACTTCGCACCACGTGTCCAAGGGGCCAGGGGAAAACTTTTGAAGTCTCTAACGATCATGTAGAGAATATTTGTGCACGTAGCCACCCAAGGACCGTGGGCACAGTGGCGTCGCATGACAGAGATCATTAAAGGACAAAAGAAGAGGGGACCACAGAACCAGCAAAAAGGGGAAAAGAAGCCCTAGAAAAGTCACCCATATAAATAAAACACTATCACACTACACAAAGGAGATTGGCAATTTTTCCCGCTGATATACTGATATCACTAAAGCATTGTATAAAAAAAAACCTGTTGCAATCTTTTTCTTCAAGAAATATACATCTCTAAGGAGCAAGAGCCTCCATTACAGTGGATTAACCAAGCTTTTCAGCTGGTAAACGATTTATTTGTTGTTGCTGATACATCCTCACTGCTAAATTCATTGTCAATCAATTTATTCTCAATACTACCTTTCTAGACCAGAAAATCACCATTCTGGACCTGGGCTAAGTATTTTTGAGCACCATCAGCTTGGTGTCATCTGTGGGAACATTTTTCATCATTTTCCTTCAAGTTTTCTTTCTATATCTCAGTTAGTTTGATGGTCTTAACTCGGAACATGAGTAAACCTCACGTCAACCCCCAGGTTCACCAGAACCCACCAGAGAACTTCCCCGCCCCTGTAGCGAACGTCGAGAATCACCCTCTGGTGGTAGATCCTCCTCCTTCAATGAGATGGAAACCTATCGCTGGACCACTCTGTAACTCATAAAGCAAAATCAAGATTTGATAACGTGGATACAAACTCACCACCTCCCGCAGATTCCAACAATGCACCCTGAGCCACCTCCTCCCCCTCCACCAGCACAATATGATGTCCCTCACCCAAATCTTCAAATACCGCCTAATGGAGTCACGAACCTCCACGAACATAGCTATTCCGAAGAGAATCATCAAATGAGAAAGCCAGATGGAAATACAAAGGACGAAGCCTACAATCGGGCCAGGGCGGTTCATCGAGAAGACTGACCCTTTCCTCCACTGGACGTCATGGATCATTTTTTGGAACAGAAACTACGTGAAATCCAACAAGAGCTACGGAACGTAAAAGAATTGGTTAAGAGGAAAGCCCCTGACACCATGGACTCCTTAGTCCAACAAATCGAGTCCTCTTTCACCCTGAGATCCTCCATTTTCTCCTCTCTTAGAAGTTTTGAATGCCATTGATAGAAGCATTTGATGGAACTAAGGATCTTGTGGATCACTTGAACTCGTACAAAAATCAGATGGAGCTACATGGGTATCCAGACCCTATCCGTTGCCGAGCTTTTGCCATAATCCTCAAAGGGTCGGCGATAGCCTGGTTTAACAGGTTGCAACTGACGTCGATCTCTTCTTTCAAAGAACTGTCTATACAGTTCGTGTCGCACTTCATAGAAGCCAGAACCTACAGGAAACCATCCTATCATCTTTTGAGTGTTAAGTAGGGACCCAATGAGTCCCTCCAAAGTTACGTGCAGTGCTTCAACCAAGAATGCTTGAAGGTAGAAAGCGTAGACGAAAAGTTCATGTTGACTACTTTCATGTCAGGACTCGGTACCCAGTCAAAGGACCTCATCTTTTCAATCGCCAAAAACACTCAAACCACAATGGTCGAGGTACTAGAAAAGATCAAGAAGTACATTAATGGCGAGGAGGCCCTTCACTTAAAAGGAGAGACATCGTCCACAGAAGGAGAAAGAAAGAAGAGAGAGCGCAGTCTAATAAGAGAGAGGAGGTGTGACTGGTCCCTACGTAGGGATCATTCTCTTAGAAGAGAGAAAGAGCCTTCCCTAAAGAGAAGAGGTAATGTGAGAGATTGCCTTGGGCCCCCACCCTAAGAGCTNCAGAAGGAGAAAGAAAGAAGAGAGAGCGCAGTCTAAGAAAAGAGAGGAGGTGTGACTGGTCCCCACGTAGGGATCATTCTCTTAGAAGAGAGAAAGAGTTTTCCCTAAAGAGAAGAGGTAATGTGAGAGATTGCCTTGGGCCCCCACCCTAAGAGCTATAGCCTAGAAATGCTCCAAGGAGGCTCCCACCCCTAAACACCTCCATCACACAGCTCCTCCATGAGGTCCAGAATGAGAGATTTATTAGATGGGGCGCCTCGGATGAAGTCTGATCCTAGGAGATGAGATCCCACCAAATATTGCGAGTTCCACAAAGACACTAGCCATGAAACAAATGACTGCATCCAACTCAAGAAAGAAATAGAATACCTTATCCAAAGAGGATACTTGCGCCATTATGTGGCAGGAGAAGGAAGAGAGCAGAATGACCAGGGGTGAGATGCTCAAGTCGCCATTACACCCCCACAACAACATCACAGGCCCTTGGCAAAATCTGGGTCATCTCGGGTGGTTTCACAGGTAGAGAGGAGTCAAGCTCAGTGAGGAAGGCATACTCCAAGAGGGCAATTAGCTGACCTTCTCAAGGTTCAGGCGGTTCAAAAAGTCCCACGCAAAGACCTAGAAATAACCTTCTCCAAGCCCGACCTCAAAGGATATCAGCACCCCCACAACAACCCCTTGGTTGTAAAAGCCATCATTGCAAACAAGGCGGTACATCGGGTACTCATCGATAATGGTAGTTCAATAGACATTATTTTTCTTTTTGCCTTCGACCAACTTGGAATAGAAAGATCAAGCCTTGAACCGTAATGACCCACATTCTAGGCTTCTCAAGCGAAAGAGTCCTGCCCATCGGATCTATACAACTCATTCTCACTATGGGGACCACCCCTGCTAGGTTACTACCACTATTCGTTTCTTAGTGGTGGACGCCCCCTCTACTTACAACATCCTACTTGGAAGGTCCTCCCTCAACTCCATCAGAGCAGTGTCATCAACGTACCATCTAGTTATGAAGTTTCCCACCGAGAATGGGGTTGGTGAGGTTAAAGGGGACAAACGCCTCGCTAGGGAATGCTATGTGGCATCGATGAGGCAAAAAAGAGGTGGAATTTGTTCAATTCGAGGATCTAAACATACGGGATGAGCTGGAGACACAACCCACCCCTTTGGAGCAACTAGAACCCATGCAAGTTGACGAGGACCTAGGGCATGTGGTTTTCGTAGGTTCAATGTTGTTCCAAGACATCAAAGACAAGCTCATTTCATTCTTGAGAGAGAACGTCGACGTGTTCGATTGGAGAAAAGAAGATATGGAAGGAATTGATCTAGGTGTAATCGTACATCGACTCAGTGTCGACCCGAATTACAAGCCAGTAAGGTAGAAATAGAGGAGTTTTGGCCCGAAAAGGCAGAAAGCAATCGACAAGGAGGTAGCTAAGTTATTGCGGGCGAAGGCCATCCGGGAAGTTGACTATCTAACCTGACTGGCAAATGTTATATTAGTTAAGAAAGTGAATGAAAAATGGCGCTTGTGTATCGATTTTACCTACCTCAATTGTGCATGCCCCAAAGATAGCTTTCCTCTTCCCCGTATTGATCCAATAGTTGATGCCACGACAGGACATGAGCTCCTCAACTTCATGGATACCTTCNTGTGCATGCCCCAAAGATAGCTTTCCTCTTCCCCGTATTGATCCAATAGTTGATGCCACGACAGGACATGAGCTCCTCAACTTCATGGATACCTTCTTAGGCTACAATCAGATTAAGATGGATCCAAACGACCAAGAAAAAACTTCATTCATTACTGAACAAGGAATTTTATGCTACCAAGTCATACCTTTCAGATTAAAGAACGTTGGGGCCACCTACAAAAGACTGATCAACAGAATATT